GTCATCATTTTCATTGCTGGTATGGCTTTCCCCAAAGCACAGTATGATTTAGTCATCTTTTGTGACTTTGATTTCAAGCATCAGACACAGCATGTGGGTAAGTGGCTCATTTGGAGGCTCACACTTCATGTGGCCTGGCCACGTGCTGAGACCACATTGCGTGGCTACTTTTCCCTACTTCATCGTGGTGTATGGACAACCCTTCTGTATCAGGGTCATCTGCAGCACAACTCCTACGTAGAAGAAGCCATCTCATTCATCAGCTTCAATGCATTGGATCTTTTGAGAAATGACTGTGGCCTACTTTTGTAACATTGTGTGTGTGTGTGTGTGTGTGTGTGTGTGTGTGTGTGCACGTGCTCATATATGTGGGGATGCATTTGTACCACAGCATGTGTGTGGAGGTCAGAGAACAACTTTCAGGAATTGGTTCGTTTTTTCTACTGTGTGGGTCCTGGGAGCACAGGACTCAGGTCATCAGGCTTAGTAGCAAATGCCTTTACCTACTCAAAATGTCTAAAACAATGCCGTGTATGCAATATTAATCATATACTGTAGCACCAAATACTTATCAGAGAACATTCTAAGTGGTTTGTACCTGTAGTCCCAGCTGCTCTTGAGGCCAACATAGGAGGGATTTGGATACATTCTGGCCAACCAAGCAAGACCTTATGTCTAAAAAACAAAACAAAACAATGCATGCTAGCTGTCCTTACTGTCATTTGGGCAGCACGGTTTAGGTCGCTTGAACCTCCTGGAGTAGAGACCCTGAAGTGACTCCACCCTTTGGGTTGACCGTGTGCCATGAATATGACTCTCCATATGGTGAATGACAGTCTTTAGAGGTCCTGAGGTCCTTCCAGGGGTGTGTGGCCATTTGCCCCATTCCAAATGGTTCCAGACAGCTATTCTGAGAGAAGGAGGACCCGCCCTTGAGCGGTTTCCTTTCCTTCCTGCCCCCTCTAGCTCCCCACTCCAAGCAGCTGGGCAAGCACCTCAGTGGGATTAGCGTGTCATCCACCCAGTGGAAACCCACAGGGACCTAGGCAAAGGCACCACGGGGTGTTGCTCTTCCCAGCTTTGAGTGCCTTTTTAATTTTCAATTTAATTTTTTTTTGAGACAGGGTCTTGTGTAGCCTGAGTTGTCTTACCTTATAGTTGAGGATGGTCCTAAACCCCCGGCCCCGCTGCCTCTGCCTCCCAAGTGCTGGAATTATAGGAATGTTCCACCAGCCCTGGTTTGTGCAGTGCTGGAGTTGGAATCCAAGGCTCCTGGGTGATAGGCAAGCGCTCTGCCATTTGAACTCCACGCCTGTCCCTTGAAGGCCTTTTTGTCAGGCTTTCTTGGTCTGAGAAGGGGACATGTGGCATTGGCTTCCTTGGCATAACTGAAGTGAGCATTAAGGGGACATTTTTGGGGAAACACCGGATTCAGCCTCAGAACAGATACTATACACATAGGCAGCCTATAGGATGCACCATGGGAGTGCTCTTGTGAGGTAAGATGGGCATCTCTGCCACCTACCTCAGCAAGGGATGCTCTGTGTCATCTCTTCTGAGGCCTGCCCTGCTGGAGTCATGCTTCATCCCTTAAGAACAAACCCCTCCCCACAGCCTACCATGCCTCCTCCTCTGGTGTCTTTCCCGTTTGACCTCCCCGTGTCCCCTCCTCGGCACCACTTGTGCATGGACCTGGCTCCTGCTGCCCAATGTGGGTTCCTGCGTCTCGCTCCCCGCACTCTGGCATATTCCAAGGGAGACCACATCTCACTGAAGAGGGCTCCCCCGCGTTCCTTCATGTTTTCTACAGACTGTCGTGATGGGCACTGGGGCCATTGAAGCAGGCGACAGTAGACATGGCCTGTGCCCTGTCTGACGGGGGTGTCTGGTGGGGCGGTGACAGTAGTGCATCACACACAGCAGAGGATGGAAGCATCACCTTGAGGGAGGAAGAGGCAAGTGCCTGCCGTGGAGTTTCTACTGGGGCAGAGATGCCCGCCTGAAGAAGGGGTGCTTCTGCTAAGGGACACTTAGGCCAGTGAGGAAGACTGTGTGGTCACAGGCACCGCAATCAAGGCCACAGCTTAGACAGACCCGGGGCAGAGGCAGAGCAAGGACTAGGCACTGAAGGAAGGCCAGCGTAGCTGGAGTGCTGCAGACGGGTAAGAAAAGAGGCCAGTGGGGGAGAGGGGGCCCATCCTGAACACCCCGCAGCATGCAGATGTAGCAGGGAACCGCTGAAGGCCCTGTGCTGGCGGAGGTAGGAGAAATGACGTCTTACAGAGATCAGTCGGCCACGTGTCATGAACTAACTGGGGGCCTGGCTGGTATGGGGGACACTGCTATAGGGCCCATGGGGTAGGCTAGTGGATCATGACGAGGTGATGGAGGGGGTTTACAGGTTTAAAATCATCTGGAATTCCTGGGGAGGGAGTTCTGAGTGGGGGTAAAAGATAGGATGAGGGTGTGTGTTGGATTGGGGCTGTACTAAATATATCATTTATTGAAAAAGATATGCTGGCAAAGGACTTCATCATGTGTAGTGCTAAGAACCTTCCTTCATCTTCACAATGGGGCACAGGTTATCTGTTAGTACTGACGTACGTAGAGGGAGGAAAAACAGGTTAGAGAAGTCCAAAGTCCGAGGCTGCCCCCAAAGGGCACCGCATGTTTCTGGCATGCCCAAAGCCAGTGTCCTATTTACTGGCCCCAAGTCAGCCCCTTCCCTGTGTTCTAGGGGCTGGAACACACATCTGCAAAGGGAGGCACAGATGGCTTGAGAAGAGTGACACGGGACGTGTGGTCTGAAGGCTTAAGTGTTGTCGCTTCTGATCTGAGTCAGGTGTGATGTCGTTATCCCAGATGTGACTGCAGGCTGCAGGCTGCATGAGGCAGCCAGGCCCAGAAGCCAGTGTTGCACTGCAGACGGTAATGCTGCCCATGGGAAGCCCATCTGGGCAGGAAGCCAATGGCTTACCCCAGGCCCAGGCTCCTCTTGCCAGTTGCAGAGGCTGGCTTACTCCTTCTTGCACAACCTTTCTTCCGTTCGTTCTTTTTAAATACTGGCTGCTTAATTTTCTGTATTGGAATCTGAAAACAAAGACCAAACTCATAAAGGGAAATGGAAATGGCTCATTATTTTAATCACACCTGATTTTCAAGAGCATGGTCTCACTCAACAGCCTTGGAGGAGGGCAGCGCCCTCTGTATTACAGGGTGAACTGGGAAGAAGGCAGCAGGGACCACTGGGCTCTCTGAGGCCCATCTTAGAGATGGTGGTCTAGCGGTTCTCAACCTGTGGGTCGCAACCCCTCTAGGGGATATATGACCCTTTTGCTGGGGTCACCTAAGACCATCAGAAAACACAGCTTGTATTACAATTCATAACATAGCAAAATTACACTTACGAAGTAGCAATGAATTTTATGGTAGAGAGGAGGGGTCACCACAACATGAGGAACTATATTAGAGGGGTCACAGCATTAGGAAGGTTGAGAACCATTGGTCTAGGAGCTGAGCTGTCAATGCCTGGAGAAGCTTACTGTCCCCAGCCTGCAAAGATCCCAAAGCTAGGGCTGGCACTTAGGTAGCTGCCTCTCTCTTCAAAAGACCCTGAGAGCTGAGGGCACCACCAGGGAGCAGTCAGCAGCTCTCTGAGGAGACCTTGCCTTCATGTGCTTGACCACAAATACTGTAAACTCAGCACCTTCCTGAGAGCCAGTTAGGAACCCCTGTGCTGCCTGGGACCTGAGAGAGGACCTTCCTGGCAGCTCAGAGACAGGACCTTAGGGCAGATTCCATTTTGTTTAGAAAACCAGAGAGGTGACATTGGATGGTAGCCAATCCATGCCCCTACGAATGTGTCATAGCTTCCCTTCTGAGTGTGCTGGCTCCCGCCACTCCTGCCGAGCACAGGCTCAGCCACCCAATCAGGCTGGTGACACATGCTTGGAGAAGCCAAGTTGGTGACATTTCCCTCTCCATGGAGAGATGTGTCTCTTGCTCAATTGGCAGCCTGCAGGAAAGGCCAAACAACAGATATATCCTTCTCTCAGTAGAAATCCCCACCCTGTAGGGACAGGAGTCTCTGTACCCTCCCTTTGCCCAATAAAAAGCCTCATCGCTGAATCACACACCCCTGGTAGGCTGGGAACCAACCTCAGTCCCAACAAATCCACCTCTGCCTCCCAGTGTTTATCCTGGCCTTCCCCGCCATTGCTTGTTGCTGTGTCTCTCAGGAAAGCAAAGTGTGTGTTTAGATGTTAGGATTTAAACAACTCAGCAGAAGAAAAGCACTGGAATCTGTAGTCCGGCTATTTCTGTCTGGAGGAAACAACAGGAGGGCTCCAGAGTCATTGCCCAGCCCGTTCTCCTTTGCTACAGACCTTGGACAAGGTCTCCAGTCTCCACACCCCTCTCTTCGTACCTGCGCAGTGGGCTTACCGCTTTCTGATGAGGTCCTGGAACCCTTACATGAGAAACGTGACACCAGGCACACGCTTACGCTGTCCTAACCCGTCAGGCACATGTGGGAATTTCTGGCCTGCTCCTGAGTGAGTGTGTTCTTTCTTTGGGAGAGGACCATATTTCCCGCCCACATCTGCAGGTAGCCACAGTCTACTGGAGGAAGGCAGTATCTTCATCTGTCCTGTTTGTCTGGATCCTCCCCAGGTATTAGGCATTTGGTTGATTTCCAGTTCTTTGCTGCTGAACACGCTGCCATTATGGAGATCTGCCAGCTGATTTTGACGTGGCCCCTCACAGAACTGAATTATGGGATGCACAGTCAGTAACATGGAGATCCATCAGTGAGACAACTACATTATACAGGCATCCAAAGTTTCCTAGGTTAACTGTGCTTTGAGGAACCCTGCCCTTAACTCAAAGCAAACGATACTCTTAGAAGATGCTGGAATATCCCTTGGCGACCACTGCTCTGGCCCCACAGCCCAGGAGAAAGCAGCCAAAATGTTGATACATGTGTGTCCTCTCTCTCGTAGAAAGTCTGCACCAAATGCGGGATCGAGGCCTCCCCCGGCCAGAAGCGGCCCCTGTGGCTGTGTAAGATCTGCAGTGAGCAAAGAGAGGTAGGGGTCCTGAGGTGGGCGGGGCTTGGGCGGGGCAGGGTCCACTTGCATTGGGGTGCTGGCAGAACTTCTCCAGAGGGGAGGTCCTGAGGAGGACCGCCCAGGCTGACCAGGGAAGGTTCCCAGGAGGACTGCCCAGGATGTCTAGGGGAGAAGGGCGGGAAAGAAATCCTGCTGGCCCGCCCATCCCTCACTGGTGTAGAGGTGAGAGTCAGCCCTGCTCTGGTGCTTCAGGGGCCTATGGTTTCCATAGGTACCTCCCTGTGAGCGTGTACATGTGGCATTTGGGGAGCTGTAGTAGTAGTTACCTGAGTTGAGTGTCCTCTGAACATGTGGCACTACACTGTAAGCCACTTCCATTCCTTTCCCCCTTCTCATCCCCCTCTGGCGGGTGTCATCCCCTCCCCCGTCCGATGGGGAAACACCTGAGGCCGGATAAGCCAATGGTGAGGGAGATGGGGGGCAACTGAGGGCAGTCACAGCTTGCCATGATGCTACCACCCAGTCGTTTCTGGTGCCAGTGTTCTGTGGGTCCAGCTTGACCCCCCTCCCGGGAAGGTAAATCATTCCGTGGGGGGTGATAAGGCCTCCGACATGGTAGCAGATATGTGGGACCGAGAACTGCTTCTCCTTTCCCCAAGGTCAGAATGGAACCAGAGCACACCAAGGCAGACAGCTGCTGGGGAGGCAAAGGGAACCTTTAGCTTTCCACAGATGGTTTTGCCTTTCTGGTTATTTTGCTTGGCACTTTTTATCTGAGGGTCTTTAAAAGGTTTTCTGTTCTGGAAAATTCTACCGTCCTTGGGTATCTCTGTGCTGTCATTTCATCTTCCTCCTGGGCACCTTGTTTTAAAACTCCCCAGTCCCTCCTCTGCGCCTGTGGATTCTTGGGCGATTCCTTTCGCTGGGTCCTTGGTTCCTTGAGGCAGAGCCAAGCATCCAGGTGTGGGGTGAGCATGGGAGCACGTCCCCGCCCAGCTGTGTGTGCAGCTGCCCACTCTCCTCCAAGGATGCTTCCTCTCACATGTTCTCACATGTTCCTGCCATGGGACTGGGTCTTGCTGTTTGCATCCCTCTCTCCCAGGTGAGAAACCCTCTCTCTCTAGCCTCATTTTTAGTGACTTGACTGTGCCCCCCACCTCCTGTGGGAGGCTTTAAGTTCTCATATCTAAGAAGACTAGTCTCCCAGCTGTCTCCACCCACTGCTGGGCACTGAGCTCCTTAAGCAGCGCATTTGGACACTCAAAATAGCAAGTAGCTAGACACAGTGGCACACACCTGTAACCCTGAGAATTCAGGAGGAGGCAGGAGGACCACAGCTTGGAGGCTAGCCAAGACAGGCTAGCAAGAGTGTACACACACACACACACACACACACACACACACACACACACACACACACACTTTTTAAAGATTTATTTATTTATTTATTTGTGCTTATGAGTACTTGATCTGTGCACACCTTTACACCAGAAGAGGGAATCAGATCCCATGTGAGCCACCATGTGGTTGCTGGGAATTGAACTCAGGACCTCTTGAAGAGCTGCCAGTGCTCTTAACCTCTGAGCCATCTCTCCAGCCATATATAGTCAAGCCTCTGATCTACTGAGGTATGCATCTTGGTTTTGAGCACAAACAAGCTTACATGTTTTGTTTTTTCACATATTTCCACCTGTTGATGCTGTGAGTCTGGAAGACAGAGGCACAGGACCTTGATTGTGAGCTGGCATTTAGGCCTCCCTGATGATGTTGGCCCTTCATGGACTGGTGGGGGGGTTGTTGGTGTTAGCAAGCTTTGGAAGTATTCCTACTGACTGTCTTATACTCCATAAGTGTTAGAGGCTGCCCCTTCCTCGAAGCCAAAGCTCCCTCTTCGAGCTGAAGTCTCTCTAGACTTCAAAGGACCCCTTTTAAAATACAGATAAGTACACTACTTTAATCTCAGCAAGTGGATCTGTGAGTTCAAGGACAGCCAGAGTGGAGAGAGAGAGAGAGAGAGAGAGAGAGAGAGAGAGAGAGAGAGAGAGAGAGAGAGAGAGGAGGAAATGTCTCTAAATAACATGAAGAGGCACCCTCTGGATAAAATCATGGCCACAGGTGAGCCCCATATTGGAGGTCAAGTTGCCACAAGAGAAAGAAAGTGGACAGGAGGGAAGGAAGGATTCACCAGCTGCACTGGCTCACCACGGTTACTTGCACACGTCTTAAGAGTCCTGAGTTCCCATACAGACAGAGGGACATAGGGTGCCCCAGTTCCAGAAAAGTCTAAAACAGCTTCAGATGAATTTTCTTATCTTTCCTAAGGCAAAGAATACGAGGCTATGCTTTATGCTATCAGCTTGTCCTTGAATTTTAGGAGCCGATAAAGCTTAGCAAGATCAAAAAGGTTCCCCTCTGTGACTCCAGGCAGCATTGCTTGGACACTCGCTGCAGGTGAATGGGGTCATGGACGGGGTTGTGAACGTATCCGTGGTTTATCATCTGTGGGTACCATGCCCACATGCTGGAGTCTGCTGTCTGCCACGGGCAGGGAGTGGGGGCAGGGCAATTGGTTTCCTGATGCCGTTTTTTTCTCTTCAAGGAATATCTAATCATAACAAAGAGATAGAGAGAAAGGACATTTAAACTGCCAGGCTCTGAGCACTGAGAGTAGCTGCTGTGGAGACTGATGGGAATTTGGTGTTCTATCCCACATTGGAAGGCAGATCATGACAGAGGAACTTGGGCTGCTGATGGCAGCTCTTGTGCCACTCTGCCTGGGCACTCTGATCTCCCTCTCCTCCTGGCTAGCTCCCATCAGCCCTGGCAGTAATTGCAAGTCATTTCTCTTGAGTGGGCCCAATGTTGGCTGAATGTTCTAGGGCGGGCAGCTTGGCGTTACTGTCTGTCTAATACACGTGAGCAGCAATGTGAATCTCAGTCTGCCAGATTGGAATTTAGCACCTAATATATTCATTCACTTGGGCATTTGATGCATATATATTAAGCATCTTCTATGTGCCAGGTACGACAGCTCTTATAATGAGGGGGGGAGGGAGCGAGGGAGGAAGGGAGGGAGGGAGAGAGAGAGAGAGAGAGAGAGAGAGAGAGAGAGAGAGAGAGAGAGAGAGAGAGAGAGATCACAAACACAGGAAGGTCCATTCTGTAACTTAGAGATATGATAATGTGATGGAGGAAATGGGGAAAGTGGAGACAGTGGCCTCTGTAAAGACAGAGATCACTGATAAAATGACCTTTGCGCTCTGTGGCGATAGAGGAAAAGCATCGCAGAGGTAGGGGAGATGAAGTGTGTACAAATGCCCTGAGGTGGGTGTGCGTTCAGCGGGGAGACCAAGGTGAAAGGAACAGGGTCAAGGTTCAGGAGAGGAGGCGAAAGATGCAGAGGGGAGTCAGACTGTGGCAGGTTTGAAATCTATTGTCGAGAGTTTGGCTGCTATAGTCAGGAAAATGGTGGGTCTTGGGGGATCTTGAGTATCAGAGTGACATGTTCTGACCTCTTTTAAGGGATGCTCTGGCTGTTTATTGTGTTGTATAAATTGTAGGTTACAGTAGCAGAGTGTTTTATTCTCCATTTTTAATATTGCTCTGGGTACCCATGTTATCTCTAGGTAGACTTGCAAGTGTTCATACTCATACACACACACATATGCACACAGGCACACATGCATACACACATGCACACAGATGGGGGACATGTGCTATTTATGTTGGTAGCATATACCTATGATCCCAGCACTTGGAAAATAGAGGCAGGGGGGATCAGAATTCAAGGCCAGACAAGGCTTTATGAAGCTGTCTGAAAAAAAAAAGAAAGTAAAATTCATTTACTGTTTTTTTAAACAATGTGAATAAATGAGGAATGCTGACACTACATAGAAACGTATAAAGAAATACTCTCGCCGGGCTTTGGTGGCGCACACCCTCAACCCCAGCACTCGAGAGGCAGAGGCAAGCAGATATTTGTGAGTACACGACCAGCCTGGCCTACAGAGTGAGTTCCATGACAGACTCCCAAACAATACAGAGAACCCCTGTCTTGAAAACAAAAAACAAAAAAACAACAAAAAAAGAATGAAAGAAAAAGAAATACACACAAAATCATACCCTGACTCTCTAGAAACAACCACTTTTTGTTTTGTTTTGTTTTTGTTTTTACGAGACAGGGTTTCTCTGTATTGTTTTGGAAGCTGTCTGTCCAGCCTGGCCTCGAACTCATAGAGATCCGCCTGCCTCTGCCTCCCGAGTGCTGGGATTAAAGGCATGTGCCACCACCACCCGGTGAAACAACCACTTTTAATGTTTTGGTATGTTGCTTCCAACCTCTTTGCTTTTTTTTTTTTTTTTTTTTGCCCCTCTAGTCTGTTGAAACGTTTAAATTAATGTTCTATTCTAAGTTATTTCACAGAGTAATCAGAAACTCTGGAGATTCTTAATGGTGCTCTGTCTCAAATAGCTGTCCCTCCAGTTTGGGACATGTGGGTTTTTTGGGACAGTATCTCATGTAGCCCAGGCTAGCTTTATAGTTCTTTTGTGGCTGGGATTAAGGATGATCTGGAACTCCTGATCCTTCTGCCTCCACCATTTAAATGGTTTCCACTCTTTTCCTCTGACTAGTAACTGTGTATCATTTGTCTACATGTCCTTGCAAACTGAGACAGAACTCCCACCTAGGTACATGGGAAGCCAGTAGTCAGCGGCCACTCTCCATACCCCACCCCTCACCCCTCACTTCCGGTCCCATCCTTCCCTGCCTGCAGTGTAGATTACAGTTCACAGCAGATTCCTAGGCCCAGAAGGATGACTCAGGATGACTGGGTGCCATACAGCTGGGACATGGCTATCCAGAAGAGACATAACTGAGAAAGATGGGAGCCAGGCTGAATACGCAGAGGGAAAAACCAGCAACGTGGAAAAGAAACTGAATGACAAGTATTATTAAAGTATTAACAGTCTATGAAGTTCAGCTGAACTCTTTGCTATTCCTACAGCAGTAAACCTGG